TTGTATAACTTGGCAACAGATGACTACATTCGTGCACATGGATTACTCAAGTAAACCTGTTTTGATTTATTGTTGCACAGTGATATCCAGTTGAAGTATATGGAAGAACAACTGTGCTATTAAGTACATGATGCTGCATAAATTGTACGGTTGTACGCAAAAGTTTGGGAGCCCCTGGTCAAATGACATGTTTTATTGTCTTAACCCACAAAATATGGACTTTAACCAGGGTGTTGTACTTATAAGCCTATATGTCAGTGGATATTGGTCAGTATTGATTGTTCTTAACAGCTATTCCCATTGGCTGTATGATGTATTGATATAATGCGTGCTGGGTATTGTAGTCAGAAAGCACTGATGTACAGGAGCACAACAAAAATTGTGAATTCTGTCAAAAGGCTGAGGTAACAGTGCAACTGTTCAGTGCTACTGAATACTATATAGCATGACAACATGCTAAACACAAGTTTTATATCGGAATGCTCTGTTAAGCAAACATTCACAAGGTGCTCATGTTCTGTATCTCACCTCAAGTGAAGCCTCTGACTTTCCTGCCTGCTCCTAACCAGCCTAACGGTCTCTCTTTCCTAACCTATAGCCTATATACTTTTAGCTGCCCTTCATCACTGCTGGTAAACGGCTGTGTGCGTATGTAGTAGGGTGCTGGAGATAAGTGGCTCTGCTGTGATGCGGCACATCTGGTGCTCTGGAAAGTTCCTTCTCGGGCCCATATATACACAAGACCGTCGCCGCCTCCTCCTGGAAGACTGGAGCAGAGGATTCGTGTCAGATACGGTCACTCTGTTTGTCTGCCCAAGCTCCATTTTAGGAGACAATGGCCTCTTCCTTTGACGCTGACCTAGGGCCAGCTCCCACTGATCAAATCTTCACCTTAATCTCATAAGTAAGGCAGCGGGACTGAACTTGAATTAGCACCAGAGGGGAAAGTCTGTTGCCCTGCTCTTCTTACGCACAAGCCAGAATAGTTTTCTAGTTTCTCTCGCAGTGCTGATAATTAGGGTGAAAAGTTTGTGAGTCTGGTTTCACTCTGCCTGTAAAAATTTGGGGACGCCTTGCCTTCTGTTGAAGTCGTCTGAGTAATGTTTTATTTTCACTGCGACGTCTCAGTGAAGTAACAAATCTGCAAAGATTTTCAGAATATAAAATTACAAATTCAGCTACATTCAGCTTTGTTTTCTTTAAAGGAGACTATGTTTTGCCTAAATAATGATTTGACAGTTTCAATTAAAACACTTTTAACTGAAAATCTTTTGCCCTAAATGAGGTTTAGAGGGGATAATCAAGGGGACAATGCATGGGTTATGGCAAAGTTCCCAAGATATTACATCTACAAGTACTGTTTGTTCATTCCTAAACAGCTGTCTAAAAGTCAGAAACCCTTTATTTCATTAATTTCAAGTTCTTTGTTTTTCAGGAGATATTTTGAGGACATTAGATATAACATAATCAGCTTGCATCAGGAAGAGGAAAGTCAAAGGTTCAAACCTAGAGTTCACAACAATGCAAGACTTGGTAGACCACCAAAACCGTCATCATCAGATAAACAGTACAGAGAGGAGAAAATCAAGCTCCACTCTTGATACAGATCTAAAAAAAATTACAGGTGTTTCTTTCCATCCTTCCACTATGAGACAACAACAATATGAGTCTGAAAGGATGTGTAGCTGTTAAGAAGCCCTTAATGAATAAAGGAAATAGACAAAAAATGAGAAATCAGACTCTGCTGTTGACCTCAGAATGATGGACTGGCCACCACAGAGTCCAAATCCCCAACATCAGTGAATGTGTTTGGGATTATTTGGATCGTGAGAAGCAGAAAGTGAAATCCTGTAGATCTCTCTGAAAGACTGAGAGTAGATCTCCCGAAAAGAATGAAAGCTGTAATTAAGGCAAAAGATGGACACAGTAAATACTTCTTTGAAGAAGTGAGTGTCCCCAAACTTTTGATGGGCAGTGCACATACTGCAAAAAGACTATGTGTACCCTCTGCCGAGTGATTCCGTGAAATCCTTACATTTACCGTCAGGATGGGTCGTAAACCGCTCTGTTTTGTTTTATATACCTCAGCAAGAGTAGTGCGAAATGTCTCATGTCGCCTTTGTTGTGAAGGTTTGGACTGCATTGTGGTGGTAACTGCCAAAAGCATTCTGCAAGAAGTATCTGCGCGTTTTGCATGGACACCCTTTGCAGCTGTCTCATAAACAATGTCCGAAACATTTGTTCCACTAAGCACACTTGAAAATGTCTCGGCCTGGAATCTGGGCTGGTTTTAGCAGTTAAAGCAAAACAATCTACAGTCTGCTGTCCATTTTAAAAATTTCAGAAATAACTTCCTTCTGTATACAGCCGAATAGGAATGAGTAAGTTCTAATGACTGTGCTGATATGTAGGCACAGTGTAATAGTGACATTATTAATGAATTGTTGTCATTACCGTGTAGTCTACATACTAGTCTACATACTAGGCTGACAGGAAGCAGATGGAGATTGGAAGTGGGCGTTTATGAGGAGGGGTTGTGATCTTCATACTAAATTGGTGACTGTAGAGTTTAAACCGCTTTCTAGGGGGTATGAGGTTTTACCCTGGCCTAAAGTTGAAAGAGGGGGAGTGTTCCTCGATATAAACCTGATGTGTGTGTGCCCGACTAAAGCAGAGCAAATGTTTTTTATTAACTCACGTAAATATGAATCTGGAAACTCTATTATAAGCAACTCCAAGGAGGCCTCTAGTATAAGCCACATTGTTCTCCTCTCTCTCTCTCTCTCTCTCGCGCTCTCTCTCTCTCTCTCTCTCTCTCTCTCTCGCGCTCTCTCTCTCTCTCTCTCTCTAACTTTGTCCAGATTGGTGAACTCTCTAGCTGAGTTGCATAAACAGAAGTGTGGTTCAGACGTTTGTTCTTCAATGTATTTGAGAAGATGTGCGATTTCTCAAAGATGTGCTTGATGCCAACTGATATTCACATATCCACTGTACACTTATTGGCTACTTTATTAGGAACATCTACCTTGTATCACCACTCACTGTCCATTTTATCAGCTCTACACTGTTAAAAAATAGATTGTTTTTCACGGGTTCTTTAGTAAAGGGAATGGTTCTGTTTAGAGCCATGAGTTCTATATAGAACCATTTTGTGCTTAATGGCTCTTTGCATGGTGAAATAGTTCTTCAGATTGAATGTGTTGTGTATTGTTCTATAGAACCCTTTTAAAATGGTTCTATACAGTTCTATACAGTTATTCTATTGTTATGATGTCAAGCTTGCAACCCTTTTTGGTGCTATATAGAACCATTTTTAAAACGGTTCCATCAGTCTGAAGAACCATTTCACCATGCAAAGAACCACCCAAGCATGAAATGGTTCTATAAAGAACGTATAGTTCTAAATAGAATTATTCGCTAAAGAACCTTTTAAAAAAAACATCTTTTTAAGATTGTATATACATTCAAAATTTGTCCCTGCCGCATTAGTCCTGAGAATCGTCCACCAAACAAAAAATCCGGCTAACAGCACCCCATGGCCAGACACTGACCATAGATAAAGAATTAGAGGACAACTAACGCAAACTGTGCAGCCACAGATGAGCCATTGTCTCTGACTTTATATCAACAAGGTGGGCCAACATGGTAGGTGTGTTTAAAAGAGTGGACAGTGAGTGGACACAGTGCTTAAAAACTGCGGTACCGCTGCAACACCCACTACCATGTCAGTGTCACTGCTGGGCTGAGAATGAGCCAGCACCCTGGGTCCTGACCATTAATGAACAGATTATGTGGAGAAACAGATGGACTACAACCTGCACTATCAGAGAAACAGGTACTGTGCAGGTACATTTTTCATTCATTAAGGTACAAACAATGTAAGTGCAACTTCAAAGGTACAACAGTGGTTTTAAGGTCCAATTGTGCACCTTAAATATGAATTTTCTCAGTAAATATTTGTACCTTTTCATAAAACAAAACAATAAAAAAGCTAGAGAGAAAACAGGGTGTGGAGTCAGCACAAGTGCAGTTGCAATGGAATATGGAACAATTACGTTCTGGGGTACCACACCAGTGGCAGTTTACTACCTTTATTTCTGAGAGTGTGTGATTGTAGAATTACAAAGTCCACTTAAGGTAAGTGGACCTGATACAATGGTCGCTGAGTATAGATACCAGGTAGGTGTTCCTAAGAAAGTGCCCAGTGAGTGTATACTGAACATCAAACTGTATGTGTGAGGGCAGTACTTGCAGTAACTTGTAGACTGTAGTAACTATCCAGATACTTTCACTTCCAGTGATCATGAGATAGATCACGTTGTGTGATTGTGTAGATGTTGGTGTAGATTGCACATCCAGAAATAGCTGAGTAACCCTGCTGTGGAATTTAATCTCTTACACGTAGGAGGCTGAGGATTTCTAAAAAACTAGACATGCTAAAAAAAGGCCATATCATGGCAAATCAAATTGTCCTTGATACCAACTGATAAAATGTTCATATATCTTGTGTACACTCACTGGCTACTTTTTTAGAAACACCTACCTCATATCAACCCTCATTGTCCATTTTATCAGCTTTACCTGGAGTTTGATGTAAAAGATGTTTATGTAGTTGGTACAGTTTCAAAACATCCAGTTCACTCCCCAGTCCATGCACTACATATATGGAAACTAAGCTGCAAAAGCAGCCCATTTTCAATTCATTGTTTAGTGATTTCCCACATTTACATATCTGCCAATTCAACCTACAGCACTTTAGACCCACCCACTCAGCCTGAAGTGCTTTCTGAAAAAGGCACAATACAGGGCAGCCAATCAGCACATAGCTCATTTACATATTCCAGTCTTTAAGGCGCAGTAACAAAAACATCCTTTTTATTTCCAAAGGATAAGGAGAGTTTGTTGTGGAAAAAACATGAAACAAACACGAAGTGGTTTCTAAGTGGACCTTGGGGTAAAAACTGAGGACACGCATTTTTCTAGGGAGGTGTGCTTTCAGCTAGGGGTGGGCAATATAATGATATTTTATCGTTATTGTGATAAATTCTGTCATAAAGCTTTTCTAAGCATGTCATGGATGTAGTCAGTGCTTAAAGAACACTAACTACATGTTTCATTACAAAGTGAGTATAAATAGGCCTGTGTAATTGGATCTAGCACAGCGGTGTGTAAAACACTGAATAAAAATGATTGTAGTTGTAAGTTTATTGTTATTATTATAGTATTTTTGTCATATATGTAACACTACATGTTCTATTTCATCTATTTCAAAATTAGATATCGTGATGCATATTGTGAAAATGTCTTGAAGTATCGCGATATCATCTTTGCCATATCGCCCACCTTTACCTTCTACTGTCTACAGCCCAGAAACGGTCTGTTTTTGGAAACTCTGACAGAAAATCTATCTGAAATGGGAATTTTGACATTCCTCGCCAGCTTTGACGTGGAGAGCGCATGTCACCCCAACACCCAGTCCCGTTTACCATCTCATAGGGTCTTTGCTGCTCGTGTACGAAGCACACGACCCCTCTTTTCTCAGACAGCCCGACAGCATGTAGCTGTTGCAGTGTAGTGCTCAGCGTGTGCGCGCGCGTCGCTCCGCCTATGGCGCTTCCCTCACTGGCCGCTCATCTCCACAGCCTGGTCAGCTCAGCACCAGAGACCGAGCCAGAGGCACACAGCCGGGCTAAACATCGCATTTCGTGACTGAACATGGGACGAAAAACTCAGCTGCCACACTTTTCTTTGAGCGACTTCCTCGTCGAGCGTGTCTGAAGCGGAGTCGTGTTTTTTTCCTCCCTCTCTCTCTCAGTACTTTCTCCTCAGGCTGTATTGGTGATAAGTCAACGCCAGCACTCCTCACGTTCCCCTCAGCGTCTTTTCTGGAGTTTGCCCGCTTCGTTTCCGTCCATATTCCTCCTTTTCTGACTGCTCTATGTGGATTTTGTTCCGAAGGAGATGGGGGACTCCGTGTTCTTCGACAGGCACATTTCTTATCTTGTGAGTAGTTTTCACTTCTGCCTCAGAAAACGGTCCTAACCTGCACAGTGGCGGTTGTGTGTGTGACTGACTGTTAAGTGGAGTGATGCGTCTGCACTGCTTTACTGTGTTTGTGAAAGTGAATGTGAAAAAAAGAAACGTGGACATGAGGGGATGCCACGCAGGATACGAGGAGCCCTAAAAGAGGGACGAAGCTGAAGTTCCTATTCCTATTAACCAGCTTTATATTCGAATTTCCCCGTTCCACCTTAAATGGTGCAGCAGTTGCATTCTGGCGCCTGAGGCACCATAATGTAACTGCTGCACCATTTAAGGTGGAACGGGAAAATTCGAACAAGAAGCTGGCGAATAGGAAACCAATTTCAGCCTCGTATAGGGTTAGCATGTGTGTTTCCTGTGAGGAAACAGGTCTTAGATATTTCACATTCAGCCTCTTGCTGTTCAAACCTCATGAGGAACTGTGGTGTAAGGTGTTCCACACACTACCGTTCAAAAGTTCTGAATCACTTTTCAAGCAAAGATTTTTGGCTGTTTTATATAAAATGACAACTTGTGTGCAGATTAAATACTGTAAACTAGGCAACAAAGAGTAATGTTAGATGTTTGAGTCCATATTTCAAGTATTTTGGCCAATACAAGGAGATATTGACGAATAAATAGTAATATACTATAATTATCTAGCTTGCTATCTTCAGTCAGGCTCTCTGCCTCGAGATACATAGTGTACACATTCATTTTGTTATAACTACAACTAGTCATTTCATCATTCTCTAAAATTCTGAACTATTTATTTATTCATTTTACAGCTTTCTGCGTATCATTTGTAATTATATAAATCTGGGAAGTTGAACATGACTATTATATTAGAATTATTTGTACATTCATCTGTGTTTATCTATATGAAAACATTGATTCCAAATTTTGAACTTCTAAACTTCTGAACGCGAGTGTACGTGCGATCTGACGCAGTTTATTATGTCAGACATGTTGAAGTGAAAGTTCTACCCAGGGTTCCTTTTGAAGGGGGATGCGATTGCTGCTGTTGACGTAATACCACCTAAGATGTCCATATCCATATTTGAGATTTACTCACCATGTTGCCTTGGTGGTATCAGGGGTACCTCTGTCTCCACCCAGCTGTTACAACTGACCACTGGTTCTACTAAAACCTCACCCCCCGTCCACTCTGCCTGAAGTAAGCAGACAGAATCCAAAAGAGTGTGGACGAAAGCGCCTGATTGGTTCACTGGCACCTTATGACTCTGATTAATGTTGGTGTTCTCTCTGCGCTGCCAGGAGTCACCAAATAGGCTGTGTGACAAACTTAAGTCCTTTTGGCACTAAGTGCTGGGAATGTGCAAGGAAAGATGTTTGTGTCTGCTTGTTACTCTCACTCTTTTTCAGTCATTAAGCATCCACCCAGTGTGGATTCTCCCTCTTTTTGCTCCCTCAATGTTTTATTCCTGTCTTTGTTGAGTCTTTCTGTTGACGTCTGCATTACTGTGGCTGAATATTGCCATGCCTGCTCCTAACCTTAAGCCTAGTAGTAACCTCAGGAATACTTCTGATGCTTTTTACTTTTGCAGATAACTTTATTGTCGGATCTAGCCAAATGTCTAGTTTTATTTTGAAAGCTGAAAGCATTTTTTCATGTGCAGACAAGCCAAATGGCCAAATAACCTCAACATGTTCATGTTTTCCATGCTCACAGGGACACACACCATACCATCCTCCCTTCGTGTTGATCCATGACTGCGATTGCAAAGGCATGTGACTGAGCCAACAAAACATAAATCAAAACAAAGCTGCAATACAACCGGTTTACATATCTTGATGCCTCTCCCTCTGAATGATCTGTCCCCCACATTTGTTTCCCAGCATTAAATCTGTTGAGTGACTGGTTGGAGATAAATGAAGTATTTTCTCTGATTGTTCTGTCTCACATGTTTGTTCTTTTGATCTTCTAACGCATGTCAGCGTAGGTCAGTGCTGCATTCTTATTGCAGTCGGATCTAGAATTCGATGCCCTTTACTGACCTGAACTGATACATGAGACACTGTGCAGTTCTGATGTCTCAGATCAGCCTGAATGAGGCTTCTGCCAGTGCAACAAGTCTTTAGTTCAGGCCTGGCCTCTGTGGTGAGGGAGTAAATCATGTGTGTAATCACATTTACTTTGCCTAGTGTGCAGGGCGGAGAGGAGCGTGGCTGTTTAGACACACCTGGTGTTAGGAGGAAGCATGTGATGCCCAGAGAAATGCGAGAGCCATAACTCATGAACACTGACCGATTCTCACAAAACCTGACACATAAATACCTCTTAGGACTGGGTAAAAGACTTCCAATTTTGGCCCGGTTTTGTCAACAGGGGGCACTATAAATTGCACTATAAGCACTATAAATTGCATATGGCTTTATCTAAGCCAGTGGTCTCAGTCCCTGGTTCTGGAGCGCTGCCTTCCTGCAGTGTCTTGTCCCAACCATAATCTGCCACACCTAATTAGCTCCTTGAGAAGTTCCTGATTGGCTAGATCAGATGTATTAGTGTTAGGTAAGGGAGGGGCGGCATGCTAAATGCAGGGTTGGAACTAAACTCTGCAGGAAAGTGGCTCTCCAGGACCAGGGTTGGAGAATTTTGCATGCTTCATCTTTGTGTTGGCCTCTAACATGATGCTTAAGGGCGACTCAGTATATTCAAAACCATGGCCACCATTGGCCAATGAGATTTCAGCAGGTTTTTGACAGGCTTAACGGTAGTCAGTCATCACAAAGTCAGCTTTGTTTCCGTGTTGGTTCTTGAGTTCAGTTGGTAGAAGTGACATTTTTACTTTGACATAAGGTCTGTCATTATTCTTAAAGTGTCACATTAATCGAGAGCTTGCAGCTATCGAATATTTTCATTTTTGAATATTCTTTCAAATATTCTCAAATATTAAGAATATGAAAAGCTCATGAGGCATAACAAAGGTCTACATGCTAAAAAACATCACTGATGAACAGATTTTCATAGAATGTAGCATAAAATACGGCCTGATCTGGCAACACTGAGCAAGTAGCTGGTAATTGACCACATCAGCGATGAGTAATACAACAGTACAGCAAACAGGAGTACAGGAACGTTTAATTTATTTATTTTTTTTTTATTTAAAAGCATGTGTTCAGTGGTGTCAGTCTTAACACCCAGTGCAGGGAAATTATTATGACTGTACCAATCAATTAAGACTGATGTCATTTCAAATTGGAGCCCTAATGCAGATAATCTGGTGGGTTTCGTTGCTCAGCGTGACCACCTATATCGAAATGAAAGTACATTTTGAATGACGCAGAACTACTAACCACAAACCATTGTTTCTATGATGTGTTGGCAGATTCTCTTGTTCTCTGTAGATACTCTGCTTCTGTGTGCTATTGGTTATCTGTTTGCCCGTTAGACTGGGATAAAACCAGTGCACTGAAGTGAGTGATTTCATAAGGGTTATTTGAATGGCTTTTCGAATGCAGTGGAATGGTTATTTTCAAATATATATTGATTGTTAATATTCAATTAACATGAATCCTATTTTGTATTATTTGTTGCAGCCCCTCTGTTATCAGTATTGAAATATACTACTTTGTTCATACTTTAGGACCAATTTATGTGACTTTTGCGCTTTTAGAGTGGACATTTGTTTCTCTTGGCTGCCATTATGAAGGGCCAGGTAGGAATTTCACTTCGCTTTGTTCTTTAGAAAGACTTATTCACTCGAAACGATATTAACCATATTTATTACATGACAACTGGGACACATGGATATTTGCCAAAATGTTAGAGTTTTCTTTTAATCTTTTTGATGTATTTTGTGGTGGTATTTCATACTGGGATAGCTGAATATTTCATCTTTGAATTAGTACTAGAGTTACTTTTATATTCATACCAAGATGATCAAGAAGCATCTTAACCCAAAACCTGAGTTTATGGACTTCAAAAAAAAAACAAAAAAACATAAATAAACTCAGAAAAGCATATTGTGGATATCGGCAGCACTTAAAAACACTGTCCGACTGCATGTGTGATTACAAAAACGTGTGAAATGTTGAATAATAATCATTGTATTCACAGTTTTCGATAGTATTTTTTAATGTAGCATTACTTTTTGTGTTCCAACTTATCACATCTGCAAAATATATATCTTGACATACTGTGTATGATGAAAACCTCTTAAAGTTTCATAGTATTGCATAATTTCATCACATCCCCCTGTAGTTTTTAACCATATATATTAGCAATAGCTATTCTCATCTGATTAGTATGTAAATATGTCAGTAGTTGTTGTGCTGTCAGAAGTTGATGTTGAGTTACTTTGCTATGAGAACATTCTTGGCTTGGTCAGGTTGTGTTTGCATATCCTTAAGATGTCATTGCCAAAGGACATTAAGCTTTTCTTTTGATTTCTTTGGAGCCTTTGTTTGTAAAGGAATTGGAATGTACATTAGAAACATACAGTGTGTTCAGTATGGCTTTGTTGGAATGCTTGTGTGTGTCTGTGTGAGCATGTGTGTTTGGGGTGGGGTGGGAGGGACAGCATTGTTTTTGTATCATAAGAATGGTGCAAGCCCATTTCCCTGGGATGCTTTATGAAAGCAGAAAGAAACAGCTTTGTTGTTGACAGGGAAGTGTGTATTTTTTGTGTCATGGTTGTGGTGGGTTGTGAAACAGCTTCTTTTCCCCACCAGCTGATCTAGCCCACCTTACCACTTGCATAGCAGCATGACAATCCAAAACCAGACCACAAAAGGTGAGATAACAGATCAAAGACGTCAGAGACCTACATGAGAGCATCCGTACAGAACAGCAGCACATCCTGAATTTCTCCTGAAATTTCCTTTTCTTGTATCACACTTGTGATCTCTGTAGCTTGAAATAGTTGAAAGAATTGTTATGCAACACTTTTGTCAGCGCCACAATTGAAAATATGCGGAGTACAATGGCGTGTCCTTAGAAAGCTGGAGTCAACAAAGCA